CAAAACGATATTGTTTTCGTCGTTTGAAAAACGCATACTGGTAGGTATTTCTGAGCGAATCGATTTCAATTCGAATTGCAGTTGAGCAATGACATAAATAAGAAGAAAAGAGTCAAGGCATACTTGAAATTGTTGATATCTTCTATTTTAGATTCTTGCTGTATAATAATGATTATGAAATAAGCAAATTGAACAATGTATGTTTTTCCACAAACGTGTTGTAAATGTTTTAAAAAAAAAACAATATTTTAAGTAGTGAATTCAAAAATACCTATTCTAATGTGGCTCTTTTTAATTTTTCAGATAAAAAACGAGTCTTGGTATGATATTATATGATATACAGGGTGGTCCGAACTGTATTCCGGAAACTTTGGCAGCATATTCTGCAGATAAAAATAAGTAAAAAAATTGTATAACTGTATATCCTAAAATGCTTAGTTTCGTATATACAGGGTCTAGAATTTTCATTTTTATTTCGATTTTTTTCAAATAATTTCTGAAGTGTCTGGGAGAATTTTCTTTTTGATATGAGAAATTTGATTTTGATTTCAATAAGACTCCTACTTGTAGAGGGCGCCACCTACATATTTTTTCATTGGTTTGAAGAGTATAACTTTTCGTCCGTACTTGTATAAAACTACTGAGTGAAAAAATATACATTTCCATGATTTTTTACGCAAAAAATGTCTCTTGATAAAAATCGCTACGAGCAACCGTTCTCAAGATATTTAAAATGGAGATAGTCAATACGGGTCATTATTGACAAAAATAAACATATTGAGTAGATAGTTATTTGACCTGTAATGATAAATTGGGGAAGTTTTAATTTTTTGAAATTAATCATAAATTTTTATTCGAAAATATGATGGATCAAACAGTTTCTGTTGAACTTTTGGCAGAAAAACACTTCAAATTTATGATTTCAGTCTAATAACTATTTATTCAACATGTTTAATTTATTTCAATGATGGCAGATATTGATAATTTAGATTCAAAATATCTCTAGAACCATTACCTACTCGTAGCGATTTTTACCAAGAGATATTTTTTTATGTAAAAAACGTCGTAAATGTATATTTTTTTTACTCAGAATTTTTATACAGGTACGGACATAAAGTTATTACACTTCAAACCACTTAAAAAATATGTAGGTGGCGCCCTCTAAAAGCAGGAGTCATATTGACATCAAAATCAAATTTCTCATGTCAAAAAACTCCTAGACACCAATTTTCATCCAAATATTGACGTCACTTCAGAAATTATTTGGAAAAAATCGAAATAAAAAATGAAACTTCTACACCCTGTATCTCCGAAACTAAGCATTTTAGAACATTATTTATTAACATTTTAGAACTTATTTTTATCTGCAAAATATGCTGCCGGCGTTTCCGGAATACAGTTCGGACCACCCTGTGTATTAGGATTATTCCTGTTTCACCGGAAATGACTACAACTTTTGATTTTTAAATGGCACCTTCGGTATTTTTTTACTTTATTCGTTAGAAAATGACACTATATTATCTTATTTATACATTTGTTCTTTGGAGTGTCACCGATATGTTTTTTTTTCTGAGATACAGCCGGCATCCATTCTTTGTTGGCCACCCGGTACATTATACAGGGTGGTACAATTCTTCATATATGTACTACAAATATTTAAATATGGATTTGTATAGATTAATGTAGCATGTAATGAAACACGGAAATAATAGGTAACAGGAAGTAATAAAAATGAAACCAAAAATTTATCATTGTATAATATCTACATTACTGTTTAGTTATTTTTGATATATGTTTATCATCATTAACATTGTCATATACGTTATTATTGTGCTATAAAACTGTCATTATGTACTTACACTTAATGGTAATATAATATGTTCATCAACTATATTAATCTTGATAATTTAAAAACAATATTAGGTGGCCTAAGATTCTTTAAATAGAATATACCTATTTAGATAAGTAATTTATTTGATTCGATTGTAGCATATATTAACAATACATCATATGAGAATAAAATTACAGCCTATATATTAGACAGCCAGTTGACTTAGTCTGGATTCAGCGGTGACTTAATATGGATTCAGCGTACCTACGATGTTGATTTGTTTTATGTATAACCAGTCAGATCCTAAGTTCTTGGATGCTACGAATCCTCCCAATTCGACTTAGTATTATAATTTGACTTAAAATTATAATACGTTGTGGTAAAATTAATCAGTAAATAAACGATGGATTTTGTTTTATATATAACTAGCGTGTACCCGCGACTTCGTTGGCGTCGAATTAATCATTTGTAATGGTGATGATAAACCAAAGCAAGAATTTCCATTACCATACAAACTGGATAAAATGTTCTCACATTTATGTCAGCATGAGAAAAAACAATATGGCGATATTATTATATAACTTGGTAATATTTGAGGGCTACTTTCGAAAAATCCGTTTGCCAAAAATAAGTTTTTTACGTCAAGCAGTTTAAGCAGAATCGAGGTTAATCAATTACCCAACTTTTTGGAACACCCTGTATGATTTTTTAATAAATTTCAAAATATGTAAAAAAAACAAAATAAATTATATGAGTGTCCAAGCGTTTTACCGAAAGACTAACCGTTTTTTAAATAACAAATATTGTAATATTTTAGGGAGGGTTTTCCCCCTCTAGGAATTTGAGATTCGAGAAACCCCTCCTTATCGAACCTCTACACCCCACAGTCAATACGTTTGCCAAAAATCAGCTTCAAACGTCAAGCAGTTTAAGCAGAATCGTCATTACTCAATGGTCATATTTTATAAAACACCCTGTATAAATTTTTAAAAAATCTTAAAATATGTAAAACAACAAAATAATATATACGTGTTTAATAGTTTTTCCGAAAACTTGACCGTTTATTAAATAAAAAATATTGTAATATTTGAGGGGTGGTTTCATCCCCTTGGAACTGGAATTTCGAAAAATCCCTTCTTATCGAACCTCTACACCCTAGAATCAACCGGTATGTCAAAATTGAGCTTCTCACGTTGAGTGGTTTGAGCAGGATCGTGATTAATCAGTGAGTCAGCAGTAGACCCGGCCACGCGTTGCTGCGGCTAACGTCAGTGATGGCCAAGTACCCGGTATATTGAAATTTGGGTAAATACCCAAGTTTTTGCACCCCGTATATACCCAAAGAGTCAATAAATGGTATATCGAATTTGGGTAAATACCACAAATACCATTTTACCCGGTATATACCCAATCATATTAGCGTTTTTAGTTTAAGATATTCTAACAATTTTTTGAAACAATTTGTTGTTAAATTAAATATATTGAATTACTAATATCGCTATTAATAAATAGGGGTAAAAAATAGAAGGGTCAAAAATTAGGATTGTATGTATTTTTTAATACCACATTATATATAAAAAAATAAAAATAAAAAATTTTGACCAATGAAAAATAAAAAAATTGGGGTTGATCACCCTTATAACTTAGGGGTATAAAATAGAAAACAGCCTATTCTCAGACCTACTGAATATACATACAGGGTGACAATTTGAAAACGACCAGTATTTAATATTACATGTACCGATGATAGTATGAAAATTTGGCGAGAGAGAGAGAGAGGGAGAGGGAGAGAGAGAGAAATACGTCAATTTACATATCAAGGAGGACAATTTTTGAGGCATTTGTTATATATTTGCCCTATAAAACTCTCAAAAAAGTAATGCAGTTTATGTAGAATTCTATAAGAAACACAAAAATGGTAAAAGAAATAGGGGTTGCTATTTAAAATTTTAGGGGTAGGTGCCCTGGGGGTCAAGGGGTTGAAAGTAACACGACAACAAATGCCTCAAAAATTGCCCTCATGATATGTAAATTTACGTGTTTCGCCAAATTTTCACCCCGTATAAAATTTCATCAAAATTGGTTAAGCCGTTTCGGAGGAGCGTGGTAACAAAACCTATTAAAAAACAACCACTATTAAAAAATAGGGGTTGATGATAGAAGGGTGAAAATTTAGGATTGTATGTATTTTTAATGCCACATCGTAAAAAAAATAAAAAAAAAATTGTCCAAAAAATAAAAAAAATGGGGTGGACCACCCTTATCACATAGGGGTATAAAAAATAGATATCAGTCTATTTTCAGACCAACTGAATATGCATATAAAATTTCATCAAAATCGGTATAAAAAAGTATGGTAACACACTTAGATTAAGAATAAAAAGTAACAAAAAAAGTTGTATGTATTTTTTAATGGCACATCATAAAAAAAAATTGAGGTGGACCACCCTTATCACTAAGACCCTATTCTCAGACCTGCTGAATATACAAATAAAATTTAACTAACTAAACCTGTGAGACGAGAATTTTATATATTAGGTAAACTTATGGTACCTATATGGCATATAACTTTTTTTAACAAGAGTTTTTATAAATTTTTTTATGTCTATTGTATTTTATATAAAATTATTACTCTTGAAAAGGGCACTATTTTAAAATCATAAAATAATTATATGCAATAATAAATTACTATTTATTTTATATAAATAAAGATTTGAAATTTTTTTATAATGCTGAAAAATATTGTCATATTTAAAAAAACCACTCGCTATAGATTATCTATATTAAATTATATTGAAGCACATTATTTTTAAAAATAAAAACGAATGTGAGCTACTATAGATAGCATCTTGTATAAAAAAATATTGGATTATAAAATTTTCTAAAAATGTACGATCTTTTTATATTTTCAAAATATTATTGGTGAATTTGCAATAAAAAAAAGGAGTAAATAGAGAATACCCAATCTCAGGATTCTTTGTTTAATATCGACATTTTCTTAAAGCTTATTTAACTTGACGGTAAATATGTAAAATATTTTTATTTATTGACAATCGTAATTTCTGCGTAAACCTATTGAAACACCATCGAACCAAAAGATGTAACTGGTACCCACTACAAATTTGCTGTACCCAACCATTTCATTTCTCCTACTTTCGACCACTAAGCAGTGAGTGGAACCCATGTACCATATGAAAACAGTTCTCATTTACCTGTCAAAAGAAAAGTACAATTTCGAAGTACCACCAATCAGTTTTTTCTGTTCGCGATAATAGTTTGAAAATTGAATTAAAAATATATCAGAGTGTCAATAAAAATGGATCAGTATATTGGCACGTAAAAAAGTGAAAAATAAAAATATAACGATTTTATTTTTTTTTTGTATAAAAATAGGGAGCTAAATTTGCGTTTTGATAATGATCATCAAGTGAATGGAAAAACAATTTTTTCCCAAAAACTTTAGAGTGAATTTTTTTATTTGAACTAAATTTGTTGTGTGATAGCTGTAAAAAAATATTTTACCGGTAAGTAAATCATAATCAATAATAATCTATTATAACATTATTTTTATTTATAAGTTATAGTTAGTAAGTACTTAATTATAAAATTGTAAATGTGCCTTTTTAAAGATATTTTCAATTTCTTTTGATATACAGGAAGAGTCTTAAATAAGTGCAAATATTTTAGGGGTAGTATATTTCGACACCAGAAACACGATCATGAGGGTTTTTTTCGCGAAAATTTTTATTCGAAAATTTTCGCGAAAAGAGTTTTTTATTGAATAACATAATTTCTTGGTAATATGGCAACATGGGTAGTAGATTAAATTTACAAGAAAGAAAACCCAGAAAAAATCAAGAGGTTCTCAAAATTTAATCAAAAAAATATTTTTTTTGGAAATTTTTGAAATAAAATAACTCGTCATTTTGGACTTTGGACTTATTTGAAAAACGCTAAATAGAAAATATGTTTCTTTTATCGAGATCTACCAGCCCTGAAAATATTTGCACTTATTTAAGACTCACCCTGTATAAATGGACTAAATGAACTATACACATTTATTATTCTGTCCAATTTCTAACATCAGCCTTTATTTTTTGAGCTAAAACATCTATGAAAAAAAACAATAATTGCCTTTTTGGTCAAGTTATTATAATATATTACTAAAAATGGCATAGACTGTCAAATGGCACAGTTATTGATATAAACATTTTTTTTTCAATGGAACACTATACAGGGTGAATCTTAAATGAATCCAAATATTTTTAGGCCTGTTATACAGGATGAGTCTGAAATAAGTGTAAATCATAGACTTAAAATAAAATACTGCAAATATTTTCAAGTCCAAAGAAACCCAGATATTTTACGTTGAAAATTTAAAAAAAATAATTATTTGATAAATATATAAATAAATGTTAACATATTTGATGGTTTCAACTTAGAAATATAGTTGAACAAATAATATTCTAAACTTAAATTATTAAAAAATAAAGGATAATACAGAGGTGGTAAGCCATAAAATGCTTGATAAAATAAAGTGCCTAGTACTGTAAACAGAAACTGTATTAGTATGTTATCTTTTTGGTAATTACCAGGAACTAATATTAATAATATATAACAATTATTACTACTTATACTTGTTAGATAAGTAAAATAAATTATACAATTATATGAACTGTCAATTTACATAATGCTAGTGTGTAATGCTTTCTGCGTTGGTTAAAAATTATTTAAAAGAAAGTGTTGGTACAGCTACTTCCTATACGTATCACGGGTTTCTTTTACAGGTAATTTTCATTTTATATTGAGGCATTAAAGAGTTTTGTGAAGATTATAGGGGGAGTGTAAATTAATTACGTAGAAAAAATATTAAAAACGTTATTAAGAAACAAATAATATATCCTGATTTTTCTCTCATTTATTCGTTTATACCCCGTATAGATTTTATTCAATTCTCTTTATGATATACGACACTTGTGGTAATAGTTAGTTACCTTGGTTTAGAAAAAAATAACTATGGAAAGTGTTTTTGGCTAGTTTAACCATAATGACACATGCACTTTTGGTATTAAATTTATAATTATATCCATTTTTTTTCTCATTACACAATATTCATGGTATAAATATAAGACAGTTTTAAACGTAAGATATATTTCCTCAGACACAAGACAAAATTTACTGAATCTACATAAGGAAGGTACCTAAGGTATATAAACCATCAGATCTATACAGGAAAATGCGAGGATTATTAACAAAAATCATAATTTCATTTTTGTTTTGTTTGGTTTTGTTTCGTTATAATTATTTATTTTGTGATCTTTGAATTTGTTCATTTTAATTTGTAACTGATGCAGTACGACCCATTCAGTAATTTACTCTTGCTGTTGAATAGTATATATTAAGTAAATAAATAAATAATGTCTGATTATTATACAGGGTGTTTCAAAAACACGTGCCATCTGTCGTGCGGAGATTCCTCTTGCAAAAATAACATTTATTTTTCATATTAACGTAGGTCCGATTCTGCTTTGTTTCGTTAGATACAGGGGGTTAAATCTTTATCTTTTTTGGATTTATTATAATTTTCTTGATTTTTATTTTTTGCCGACCATACCAACAGGTATGGCAGGCTATTAAGATCGGCAAAAAATTTTTTTTTTAATTTCATTCAAAATGAGTTATTTGGGTCATAAATGACCTAAATACAAAATATTTTCATGGTGTCTGTCTGTCTGTCCGTCTGTCCATCTGTCCGTCTGTCCGTCTGTTCGTCTGTCAGTCTGTAACACGATAACTCAAAAACCGCTAAACCGATTTTAACAAAATTTGGCACAAAAATACTGTGGCACCCGAGAATCTGGCCATTAGTTTTTGGTGGGAGTGGGGGGTTGGTAAGGGGGTATGGGAGGGGGTTAAAAATTTAAAAAAATCGTAACACCAAAATTACAGTAGCTAAGCGAAACGCGGTTTTCAATTTAAGATTAGGAATAATATTTGCAACAAAATTTGTAATAACATCAAAATCAGTCAATGTCGCAGTTTTTGAGATAAAAAATATTGGAAAAATTTCTTTACTTTGAAACTAAAAGAACTGCCTACCAACTTTATATTAACATATTTTAGTATGGGCGACTATACGTATATTTTTTATTTCTTTATTAACAGTTCCAAATATTTTATGGTCAATAACTATAACTCTAAAATTACGAGCAAAAGCACGAAGTCTCTCATGATATGCAGAAGATCGGCAGGAAATTGAGGAAGCTGCTCTGGATGAGTACCATGACAAAACCATGATATTATGACCCTTGATTATTTATGGAGCAGTTGCTTGAGAGCAACGTACGGCAAGGCTAAACCTGTGCTAAGTTCAGAGGCTTGCATGCATCTGCATCACAGGAGCCATAAGAATCTGCCCTACAGCAGCAACTGAAGTCATTCAAAACTTAACTCAACTGTACATTGTCATCGGTAGATATACCAATGCAACAATGATTAGAATGTTCACTGACTGAATCAGTACTGGGAGGATTTTCAGCTCAGATCACTCTGCTTGGAATACACTCAAAAAGGAAATACCACTTCTTCAACTCCTAGTGGATGACATACCAAGAATGTACAACTTTGAAAAACACCCCAATTGAGCAATAAAAATAATTAGAAGAGAGACAAGAATGCTCGGCAGTTAAAAGATCATACTGAACTTGGTGTACTAATGCTTCAAAAACCAATGAAGGAACAAGAATTTGAGTGTTTGGACCTAGAACTAAATAACTCGAATCAATACCATTACTTACCACTACAATTTATCTGGAACAATCGAAAACAAGAAATAGTGCTCTTATCTGATAGTCAAGCAGCGTTAAAAGCAAGCAACTCAGTATCAATCAATTCGAAGTTGGTTAAAGAATGCTTAGAGAATCTGAACAAATTAGGCAAAGAAAACAAAGTTCTTCTACTCTGGGTACCAGCACACCAAGGGATACAATGTTGCTGGGGTTTGGGATCTTGTTTGATCGCTCACTATACCCTTGGACCCATTGTATTATTGTACCAAACCATCCTCTCATTCTTTTTTTGTGTTAAAGCATTTCCAGCTCTTTGCAAAGTTTCCCATGTCGCTGATGTTGGCTTCTGCTGCTTCTTCTAGTCCTTCCAAAAAAAAACTTGCCCTAAAGCTATAAATCCTCGGCATTCCAGTGCTGGATAGTAGTACAGTAGATGCTCTATGGTTTCTTCTTCCTCTCCGCTTTCTCTGCAGTAGTCTTCGTGGGAAATCTTCCATCTCACGAGGTTCACCATCATGCAGCTACTAGGTTCTTTTTGTGCTCTAGTAGTAGTTTTTGTCTTTTTGCTATCTACCACTGGCCACAGTCTTCGAGCTGTAGCGCAGTTCTCACGGTGTTGCCATGTCTCTTGCTTCTTGGCCTTGATGGTAGTTTCTATAGCTTCTGTTTTGATCGTCACAAGTGGTGGGTCATCTGCTACGGCCTCTTCCCTGACTGCCTTTTTGGCAAATATGTCCGCTTCTTGGATAGAAGGTAACGAGAAAGCAAATGATCTAGCTAGAAAAGGAGCGAACACTACATTAACTGGACCAGAACCGTTCTGTTTTCCAAGCGGAAAACATACTAAAAGCGGAACTCAAGAATTTTGAAGACTCTATCGGTAACCTGCAATGGGAATTCTGCAAAGGCCTTAAGGTGCGTATTCATTATCCGCACGAACGAACGAACGAACGAACGAATGTTCGCTAGTGGTATGGACGGGGACCGCACGATAGAACCGCACGAGAAGACCGGAGGCATTTGTTGGTGAACGCCTTTGATGTACCGACTCGAAACGGATGGTCGAGCGAACGAACGAACGAACGGCCGCATGCGTTCGGTCCCCGTCTAAATATACCGCATTTTCATTCGTTCGTTCGTTCGTTCGTTCGTTCGTTCGTTCGTTCGTTCGTTCGGATAATGAATACGCACCTTTAGACTTTTTCTGAAGACAAGACAAGAGAGAAGACAAATATTTTCTTTGATTTAAAGAAGTAAGAAGTAAGAAGTAAGAAGAATTTTCGGATTATCACGGGGTTTTTAACAAACTCAATGAACACCTCAGTACATTAAAGCTAAGAAAAAACGGCGAATGCAGATTATGTGGGGAGAATAAGGAATCATCAGAAAACCTGACTGAGTACACCGAGACGACAACCAATTCGTGCCATAAACTTTGGTACGACTGATATCGGAGAGGTGGAAACCCCATAATGCTGGGTTTTGTCCTGTAAACCCCCTGGGATGCTTGGTTTTGTCAAAGCCCTGGGACTGTATGATGAGTTATATCTCAAGAAAGGGGGACACAATAGATCTGTAAGGACGCGTTGATTAACTCCCTCCCACTCATTCTATATTCTACATGAGAATATTGTCCTCAAGCTTGTGCTTTTCTAACCAATGTTACTTAAGAAATAGCTTAAGTTACACTAAGCAACGTTAATTTGATATTACATAATATATTTTAAATAAAAATG